AGACGAACGAGATTTTGCTAACCGACTTCTCAAGCAGAAGGAAAGTCGGATGCTCGAGTTAGACATGGCGCCGTTGTCAGAAGAGCGCAAGGCTAAGATTCGCCGGGCCTTCATCAATATGGTCCTTGAAGTAGAGAAGGTCAAAAAACCCGAGTTGGCGAACATATGTGTTGAGGCGATTGCTGAGGCATTCGTCGTTGAAACTTTGGAAAGTTTATCCGATGAGGAAATGATGGAGGCAATTACTAGCTTTGCCTCAAGGAAAGTGGCAGAGGACAACGCCAAAGCCAAAGGGTGGTTGACTGAACTGATTCCCTCCGACGACGATCGAGTTTTACACGAGGACGATGACGTCGTCATTATAAAAGAAAGCGACGTCGTCCGGGTATGGAAGAGAAGGAGGAAGAGGTAATGCAGCGCCTGGGGGAGAGATTGATAAACCACTTTGACGCGGCAGACAAGAGCAAAACCGAAGTTGGGAACACCCAGTCTTCCACAACTGGAGGGCCTTCATCGTCGGGGACCAAAAAAGATGAATGAAATCTGTTATCTGTTTTTTATTTTCCTTCTAGCGGATGTAATGACAATTTCTTATTATGAATGAAACTCGATGTTTTAATTTCATGTTTTATGAATGTATTGTCTTGACATATTTATTGTAACAAGTCAAAACATGTCGGAGTAAAGATAAATGAATGTTTAGTAGATCATGCTTGTAATTACTCCGACGTGGTACTTGGCACTTACACTTTGCCTTGTTATGAGTTTGTTTAAATTTTTGGTGTCGGCATAATTTATAGTATATCCGACATCTGCAAACTCTTTATCAGAACAAGTCGTAAAAAACTTGCTTTTATTGCAAACATTTATTGTGAGCTCATCAAATCAACGTCGGGATTTGAAATTATAGAGCATAAGCCTCCCCAAACCATCTTCAGGGCTTGGAAGTATCCGGCTTTGTCGCGTTTGGCTAGGTCATACCAACTTCAGGGTATGAAACACGTTTAGCCTTAGCAACTAGGACCGATTTATTGTGGCCCGAGTGATCGAACAAATTATAGTGGTTCGTCACACAAACTTTATTGACAACAAAATGCAATTCTTGTACATGGGTAGGACAAAATACTTTCATACATCTGAGACAGAGGTTCGACCTTCAGGTTTACTGGTAGTACTTCTTAAGATAGGTTGCGTGCCAGGGATACTGAAGGGGAGCACCATCTAGAGTCTCAAGTCGGTAGGTACCGTTGGAAATCAGACGGTTCACTTTAAAGGGTCCTTCCCACTTCGGGTGCAACGAACCGACATTGGCCCCGGCGACTCTTTTCAGCACAAGGTCTCCTACGACAAATGAGCGTGGCTTGAGTCTTGAATTGATGTACTTCTCACTAAGTCATTTATAAGCGGCATTTCGAATTTCTGCGTTGGTTCGTATTTCATCGACTAGGTCGAGATTGGCTCTCAAGTTTCCTGAGTTAGATTCATCGGAAAAATGGGTAACCCGGTATGTCGGTGAAGTAAGTTTAGCGGGTATCACAGCTTCAGTTCCGTATGCTAACGAAAATGGAGTTTCCCCAGTTGAATTTCGTGCCGTCGTCCGGTAAGCCCAGAGGACATGAGGTAGCTCATCAGGCCACGATCCCTTTGCAGTCTCAAGCCGAGTTTTCAGACCATTCTTGATAATCTTATTTACAGCTTCTATCTGTCCATTAGCTTGTGGATGATAAGGTGACGAGAAGAAGTGTTTGATGCCATAATCTTCACAAAAGCCTTCAAATCGTTTTCCTTCGAACTGACGACCGTTGTCGGTTATGACAGAGTTCAGTATTCCAAACCGTCAAACGATTGGTTTCCACACAAAATCGATCATCTTTTGTTCAGTGATGGTTGCAAGAGGTTCGGCCTCAACCCATTTAGTGAAGTAATCGGCAGCTAGTATTGCAAACCGAACACCTCCTTTTGCCATCGGAAGTGGGCCAATCAAATCAATTCCCCATTTTGCGAACGGCCATGGACTATATATTGACTTGAGGAGTTCAGGATGTTGATTAACATTGGGAGCAAATATCTGACACTTGTGACATTTCCGCACCCAGTCTGCGGCATCTTTCCTTATAGTCGGCCAAAATAGTAGCCTTGTCGGAGAATCTTGTGGGATAAAGCTTGTGCTCCTTGATGAGTACCGCAGACTCCTTCATGTACTTCTTGAAGAACACGTCGGGCGTCAATTTCCGACAAGCACTTGAGCAATGGAGTAGAATATCCACGCTTATATAATGTTTCTTGATCAATTGTGAAATGAGCAGCACGAACACGAAGGGTGCGAGCTTCCTTTGGGTCTTCAGGTACGGCCCCGGTTTGAAGGTAGTTGATGATTAGATCCATCCATGTCAGGTCTGGGATTGGTGAAGCAGCGTCGATCATGATGACGTCGGTAGAAACTGTTGAGGAGGTCGCCTGTTGAGTAATTTGCACAAACTCGACATTGTTCAAATCGGTTGAAGAGGCCAAACGCGAAAGAGCATCTGCTTGAATATTAGATGACCGAGGTATATGTTCTAACGTCATTTTGAACCGTGATAGCTTCTTCTTGACGAGATCAAAATAAGGCAACAACCGTGGTTCCTTAACTTCGTAAGTGCCATTAATATGGCTGACTAGTAACTGAGAGTCAGAAAATATTCGGAGAGAGAAAACATTCATAGATTCGGCAAAGTGTAAGCCTGATAAGAGGGCCTTATATTCAGCTTCATTGTTGGTGGCCGGGAAAGTGAATGCTACAGAGTAACAAAACACTTGTTGATCAGGGCTAACTAAAACAATTCCTCCTCCAGCTCGTATAGCGGTGCACGATCCATCAATGTAAAGAGTCCATGTCGGATCTTCAATAGATGTACTGACAATTGGGGTAAACTCTACTATGAAGTCAGATAACACTTGGGCTCTGATGGAAGTTCATGGTCGGTACTGAATGTCAAACTGTCCCAGTTCTATTGCCCACTTAATCATTCTTCCCGACGTGTCAGGTCGGTGGAGGACTTGTCGGAGAGGATATGATGTGAACACAATAACAGAATGCTCCAGAAAATATGGGCGCAGCTTTCGTGCAGCAATGATCAGAGCAAAGGCTAGCTTCTCCATATACGGATATTGCAATTCAGCGTCATGTAAGGCCTTGCTAATGTAATATATCGGGAACTGCTGAAGTCCATCTTGTCGTATAAGAACAGCACTAACAGCAACGTCACTTACACTCAAGTACAAATACAAAGGTTCATCTGGAAGAGGTTTCTGCAGCGTCGGTAATCGTGAAAGAACTTCTTTGATGTTGTCAAAAGCATTCTGACATTCCACGGTCCATTCGAACGGCTTTTTCTTTCTGATAGCGTCAAAGAACGGCTTACAATGATCCGTCGACTTTGAAATGAATCGGTTTAGAGCTGCCAGTCGACCAGTTAAAGCTTGGACACCTTTGATAGATATCGGGGGAGCCAATTCAAGTATGGCTCGAATCTTGGCGGGATTAGCTTCGATTCCTCTGTGACTTACCATGTATCCTAAAAATTTCCCTGACCCAACTCCAAAGGTGCACTTCTTGGGATTAAGCACCATTGAATATTCTCGAAGGATGTCAAAGACTTCTGAAAGATGAGCAATATGATCAGAGGCTTGTTCCGATTTCACCAGCATGTCGTCCACGTAGACTTCCATCGTATGACCGATCAAGCGTGCGAACATCTTATTGACCAACCTTTGATATGTAGCCCCAGCATTTTTTAATCCGAAAGTCATCATGACATAACAGTAAAGACCTCGGGCCGAATAAAACGAAGTATGTTCAGCATCATCGGGGTGCATGGGGATTTGATTGTAACCGGAATAAGCGTCCAAGAAACTCATGAGTTGATGTCCCGATGTAGCATCTACCATGTAATCGATATGTGGAATTGGATAGCTATCTTTCGGGCATGCCTGGTTCAAGTCTAAAAAATCGATGCATAAGCGCCAAAGACCGGTAGCTTTCTTTACCAGGACAGGATTTGATATCCATGTTGGATATTTTGCTTCTTTAACGAACTTGTTGTCTATAAGCTTGTTCACTTCCTCTTCAAGAGCCTTCTGGCGATCTGGGCCAAATTTTCGGCGTTTCTGTATGACGGGTTTGACGGTCTTATCCAAATTTAAGCGATGACATGCTTTCTGCGGGTCTATTCCTTTCATGTCTTCGTGTTTCCAGGCGAATACGTCGGAATTTGACTGAAAAAATTGAATTAAGCCCGAACGTGTGGTTTCTTGATGACTAGCTCCAATGCGCAATGATTTTTCCTGAGTCAATCCATCCACGTAAATAGTTTTGACGTCTTCGACTGGTTCCGCTCGGACATGATGATTCTTATCTTTGAATTGCATCCGTGGATCCATATCTTCGTGTATTCCTATGTCTTTCTCATGAAAAGATTGTCCTTGATCAAGGGCTTCTTTTAGTGTTTCAGGTAAATCCGACGTTACAGGGACATCGGTATCAGCTACAAGAGGGATGTCGGTATCTGAAGCAAATTGATTAGTCCTTTGAAAATCAGGAAGAGTTGGATTTTTCAACTCAATAGAGTTATCAGTCTCCTGTTCTTCGAACATATGAAAGTTATGCGAGGTTGAGAGCAACGTCAAACTTCGTGCTTCTCGTTGATCACCATAATGAGTGTCTTCTCCTTCAATGGTAGTGAACTTCAAGGCGTAATGAAAAATTGACACGGCAGCACGGAGCTTGTAAAGTGCAGTTCACCCTACAACAGCATTATATTCATTCTGGACATTCAAGACTTAGAAAGTCTCCATAATAATCTTGGATTTTGGTCCAAAGCCGCCAAATCGAATAGGGAGTAATATTTCGCCGACAGGGCAAGAGATGCTCCCATTGAAACCTTGAATTTGGTCGTTGCAAGGTCTAATATCTGCTGGGTCCAAACCCAATTTCTTGAAAGTGCGGAGCATCAAAATACTTGAATAAGCTCCTGTATCGACCAAAATTCGGTGGACGAGGATCCCTCCAATCGGGGCTGTGATAATTAGGGCGTCGGAATGAGGATGAGCGAATAGATTGGCATCTTCGATACTGAATGTGATAGGACAATTTCGCTTATTAATGGTATCTCGAAGATCAACGTTCATGACTCGTTTCTCGGCATTTTGTGCCTCCCTGGCATAGGCTTTGGCTTTCCACCGAGAAGTGTCCAACTGTTTGGTATTAGAGTTAACTCGAGGTATGCAGTATGAAGAGTTTAATGCGTCATGTGTTTTGGACTTTTTGCAGTTGTCGGTCGAAGTACCGACAAGGGTAGAAAACGTAAAAACTTCCTTATCATTCGCGCGAGCTCTTTTTGGGTTGGCGGGTCGATTGTCATCTTCTTCCTCGTCAGAAAGATCCACAGGCCTTCCTTTCCGACGATTGTCAAAATTTCTGAACTTTTGAAGCTGGGGATGCCCGATCAAATGTAAGAGAGCTGATAAAAGGCCGAGACACTCATCGGTATTGTGTCCCGGAGATTTATGGTACGCACAGTATCGGGACTTGTCTAGCTTGTGTTCAGAAGTTCTTACTGGTTTTGGATCAGGAATAATCCCTTTTCCTTTCAGCTCTTCAAAAATGGTAGCTGCTCCGGCCGAATAAACGGTTTGATAGCTTGTCCTCACATTGTCGGCATATTGGTCTCGGGCAGCTCTGGATTCCGGAGTATTTTCGTATCCTTTTAAATAATTCTGATATTGTGCTTTTAAAAAATTTTTCTTATTCTTCTTTTTCGCGTCTGATTCACTCTTATTCTCTTTTACCGAGAAATCGAAACTAGGGACCGACATCGACTCTTCGGCGATAATGAATTGTTGAGCTCGTACGAGGAATTCCTGAAAAGTAGCCGGCTTATTCTGACATAAGGTCCAGCGAAACATCGAATTGGGCTTTAATCCAGCGATTGCAGTCACTAGCAGAGTCTCAGGGTGACAGGGATCCATATTTTGAATTCGGTCGTTAAATCAAGACACGTAGTCCTTAACAGTTTCGTCGTCCTTTTGCACGATGTTAGTGATTGATTCTTTTGGGATGAGACAAATTTGAGCTCCGATGAAGTGTGATCGGAAAGCCGCACGTAACTGTTGCCACTTCCAAATTGAATGAGGTGGAAGAGTGTAGTACCATTTTTGTGCTCGTGGCCCCAGTGTAAGTGAAAACATCCGACATCTCAAAGCATCTGAGGCTCCATGCAAATCCATCCACGACGTATAATGACCCAAATGCGCATCTGGGTCCGAAGTTCCATCATACATGCCAATTTGTGGGATTTTTACCTTGGCAGGGAGTGCTTCCGCGGTAAGTTCCGGAGCTAAAGGTGAATCAGCTTCAATAATGACATTTCTCGATGTCGAGACATGTCGGGGAGAATCTTCCTGTGACTTCTGTCGAGTCTCAAGTTCAGCCAAGCGTTTGCGGAGAACCTCAATTTCTTCAGCACTATGCCTTGACATACGATTCCGTTCAATCCGATGTCGTAAATCTTCACGGTCACGAGGTGCCGGTGAGATAGGTCTGGGTCGTGACGGAATTCTTTGATGATGAGCAGAATGACTCTCGGCAGTCATTTCTTGAACAGGAGGTTCCTCCGCGGCCTGGTTGTTCGTTACTGGGTTAGCGGTTATACGAGTTAACTCCTCTCGATGTGGAGAAGTATGGCGTGGTTGTGACGTAGCATGGGATGTCGCCGCATGTGTTTCAGGGTCATGGCGAGTATGATTTGGATGTTCCGTTGGATTGGTAGCAAACGGTGTTGATAATGGCACAGTACTCGAGTTTCTGGGCATGGCTCGAGCTATCAGAGAGGTTAAACCTTGAATAAACTCTGGGTTTTGAAGGAAGTTCGTGATATTCGTGACTGGAGGAGGTGGTGTTGAACGCCGTGGGGAATGATTAGTCGATTGACTCTGGCCAGGATGAGCTGTATGATCTCGACCAGATTGCGACATGGTGACTTTGAGCGCGGAAATGGCTATAACAGCGAAAGTTAACCTCAAAACGTGATGAGGCCGCCCTTCTTCTAGCGCCAAACTTTTGTTATTCAGTAATTAACAACTGTATGATAATCAGTAATTCATCGTGTGTTCAAGGTGGATTAGCAAAGAACATATAAAAGTTCAATAAAATAGAATTTGTTGAATATTATCGTATATTTCT